GGGCCTTCTTTTTTATTGTCTTGTATTTTATTTTTTATTTATTTTGGGGAGGTTAATTAGGTTTATTTCATTTATTTTAATGGAGGTGCTGGGGATTGAACCCAGGACCTCACGCATGCTAAGCGTGTGCTCCACCACTTAAACTATACCTTCTCACTTTGTCTTGCACTTTAAATTGGAATATTTTTGAACTCCACAGCTCTGGGTCCTCCCCAACCTCTAGATGTCGGGGTGTCTGCACCTGCCTCCTCCATTCCCACAGCACTAGAACCCTGCCCACTGGCTCTCAGAGATGGGCAGCCCCAGGGTGCCTTGAGTCTGGAGGCCGAGCGGAGCAGAGGCTCTGAGCAGTGACCAGCTGCCGACAGGCCAGGTCAAGGAGGCCCCAGGATAGACCACTGGATTTGGCCCACTAGAGGCTGCTGGGGACCTCAATGTCTCTAAGAATGATGGATGCGGGTTTTCAGGCTTCTGGCCCAGTGTTTTCTAGACACTGTGACTGAGTGTGGTCCTCAGGGAGACAGCCCTTGGGACAACACAGGCACTTCTAGGTCACAGGCTGAGGGGGTCAAGGTCAAGGTCGAATCAGGCCATAGCACAGGCACGGCCTGCAGGTGTTGCTGCCAGGCCCTGCCTGGATGCTGGGACCTGACAGCAGGGTCCAGGGCAGGCGAGCAGGGTGAGGAGGGCCAGAACTTGTCCGGGAGGGCCAGAGAGAAGCCTCCAGCCGTGGGCTAACTGCACCCCCTCTGTGGGCACGTATGAGGCCTCATGTGCGGAGCAGGCCTCCAGGACAGGTCGGCGGGGCTGGGGTGGGACTTTGAGTGACGGCAGCCTGAGTTTTGGGGCTTGAATCCTCTCACCCTGAACTGGGGGCAGCCAACGGGTCCTGGCCCCTTGGATCAGGTGGGAGGAGTTGAAGCCAGAAGGGACGGAAAGATAGATCGGCAGGCAGGCTGCACTCCTCTCTGTGCAGCAATTACGGCAGGACCCACAGTCCCGCACCAGGTGCAGGCTGTGCTCACCTGTCAGCAGAGTGGGAGGGAGTGGCCTGGGCAGGGTGGTACCTGGCCCCTTCGATCGGGGGCAGGAAGCAAGACTAGGGACAGGTCAGGGGTGCAGGCGCTGCTGCAGCCCTACCCCCACCCGGGAGCCCCCTGCCCCTGCACGGCCTTCCTGCTGAAGTGGGAAGGGGACTCTGCTGCATCAGACAACTCAGAGTGGGGAGGGGTGGGGAGGGGTCCCCAAGGAGGCAGAGGGGTGCCCCTGGGGAGAGCCTTTTTCCTGGGCAGAACCTCCAAGTCTGGACCCCAAACACTAGTCCTGCTCTGCTGGACCTGTGACTAGACCGCTCCCATTTTCCTGACATGAAGCTGCCTGTGTTCTGGGGCAGTGCTGACTACAGTGGCCAAAGGCAGAATTAGCAGGGGAGAGACCCACAGCCCCTCCCCAGTCTGAGTCCACACCCTTGACTTGGTGGAGGGCCAGGGAGGGGCGAGTGACACGGCTTGCCCCCCACGCCATGGAGTCCACGTGGGGCTGCCCGCGGTGTGTGCTCTGCTGTGTCCATCGGGTGAGTCAGAGGAGCCCAGTGCCTGTAGGAAGACTCTGGGCCTGTGCAGAGGAGAAATGGCCTGTCCCATCCAGAAGTGGAGGGACCAGCAGGGCGTCTTGGAGCCTGTGTCCCTAGGAGCCAGGAGCTGGCTGCTTGCTGGGAGAGGTCCCAGCCCTGGGTCCAAGGCTCCTGGGGGTCTAGGGGCTCCAGGGCTCTCCCCTTGCCCTGGCACTGTTCCAGTGGGAAGGCGATCCCTTGGGATCCCTCATCAGCCAGGCCTCCAGGCCAAGGCCAGGCCCTGGGGGCTTGGAGACCCTCCAGCCATCTGTGGCTGGCCGCCATGCAGGAAGTAGCCAGAGCCACAGCACAATGGCCCTTTGTCTTGCCTGCCCCGCCCAGGAAGGCCTTGGCCCCAGCCAGGGCTGAGGGGCTGGGGGCTAGCTCTCCCACCAGCTCTACCATCAGCCCAACTGTGTCCCCAGGCATAGGGGTGGCATTTGTCCCTGGAGAGCCGGTCTCGCCTGCCCCGCCCCCTCCTGCTGCCATGGCAACGTCTGCACCAGCAGGTGGGCTGGACCGGAACATTTGTCTGGTGGCCACGGGTTTCTCCTGCGATCCTGGCACCGAGCACAGCTGCTGCCCACTGGGCTAAGATGATGTGGGATTGGTGTGCTGACAGGGTGGCCCCACACTGACCCTTCAGAGCTTGGGCACTTGGCTCTCCCCAGCCAGCAGGACCAGCACGGCTCTCCCCTTGGATGAGGCCAGAGGTACAGGCCCAGTCCCACTGAGTGCCTTGACCACACATACCCTTGAGTGGTTGGGAGTGCTGCCCAGAGGGACCAGGGCCTCTGCAAGGGGCAGGAGCTGGGTCCTGCTGCAGCCACAGGTGCTCCATGAGGAGTGACCACCACAGCTCAGGGCCTGGAGGCGGCCAACAGCAGAGCTCAGAGGTGCCAGGCACCCTCGGGCCCAGACTGCGCTGGCAGGAGCTGCCTGCCACGACTGTGGGGGCAAAGGGAACATCTCAGCTGACCATCTGTTTGAAACTGAGGTATAGGACACCTGCCAACCCTGCCGAGACCCCTCGGCCATGTGCCAGCACAAGGCTCTGTCTCACTCTGGATCATTTTTACTCTGCTTGGAACTTAGGCAGAATAGGCGAGGCAAGTGGTGAACGGTCACTGCAAGGTCAGGGTGCAAGTGGTCAGCCAGGCCGGAACTGTCCTCTTGAAACTGGTGAGCCAGGGGGACGGTCAAAAGGGCTTTTGCTCCCTGGGGGCACTTGCTGCTGGGCCACCCTCGCACAGGGAAGCCCAGCTGCTTCCTGACCATCACAATCACGGGCTGGGGCAGCCTCCCACCAGGACTTCGGGTTTCCCCAGATAATCGCCTGGAGTGGCAGAGAGGCCCCCGACAAGGGTCCCCCATACCCCAGGGCAGCTGGCCGGTGGAGCTGCCTCAGCAAACCTCCCACAGAAAGCCGCGTGGCCTTTTACTCTGACTGAGACAGTCGCAGCCTGACCACGTGTTTCTGAGTCTGCGTGGAGCCTCTGAGGTGGTGGGAAAGGGTCCCAACTGGTGATAAGAGGCTCAGTCTGCAGGCAGGCCAGGCCAGCCCCACCTCGGAGGAGGTGGCTTCCGCCTCTTCTCGGGCTGGGCGATGCCCCTCGGCCACCCCTCCAGGGGCCTTCCCTACCCCAGCTCACACTCCTTCCTGGCAGAACTGAACTGAGCAGGGCCCTGCTGGTGTCCACCTTGTCCTGGCTCCAGGGGGCTTAGAGGACATCGGCCACGGCTCTTTCTGGCCGCCCCTCGTCCTCCTGGGAGCTTCTGAAGTCTGGCATCGCCAAGCCCATCAGCCCCAGCCTGACCTCTTTGGGCTGATCCCCAAGGCGCCGACGTGTGGCCCCACCAGGCAGCATCCAAGGAGGGCAGGGTGTGAGCCTGAAAAGAGGGTCGGCCCCAAGCAGCCCCTCCTCCCATTCCCACTCAACGGCAATGCCCTGGTCTCCCCAAAACGCAGTGCCTGACACACCTCACACACACAACGTGGACACCTGGGTGGGCAGCGGGCTGGACGGGCGTCCTGACGATCCAGAGGAGGGGCTGGGGTCAGAGGTCACCGATGACCCCAGGACTGGCTCCCAGACGCCCTGCATCAGGCCCAGGAGGACTAGACCAGCTCCTGTCTGTTCCCCCTCTGCAGGCTGGGAGTGGACCAGCCTGGGGGCATCCAGAGGGGCAGTGGACTCATCGCCCCTCTAGAAGGGCCCTTGGTGGATTTCTGGTTCTCCCACCATGATCCCAGTGACCCAGGCCCATGGAGGCTCCTGAGGGCCGTACACTCTCTGAGTCCCCTGTGTGGTGGGGAGTCGTGCGATGCCAGAGAGCCTGCTATGATGGCGACTCAGCCCTCTGGTCACGTCCACCCCTGGAGGACGGCCTTTGGGCCACAGAGCCCCACTCCCAGGTAGAGCAAGGCTGAGTGTGGGCGGCCAGGGACGGCCCTTGTCACTGGGAGTTCCCAGCACAGCTGCTGGGGCTCTTCATGGGAGCAGCTGGGCCTTGGGACGTCTCTGCGGTCGGACTAATTACTGGGATCACTGTTGTCTCATTACAGGCCCTTCCGCTGGGAACAGGGAACGAGCACGATGCCCTCAGGCGTGTCCCCCCCGTCCCTCCCACCCTGCGGCCACAGGCCCCCGGGCCCTTCCAACCCCAACACGAAACCTTGCACCCACAGTCCAGGGGCTCCCCTGAGGCCTCAGTCAGCAGGCCGTCCCCCCAACCTGGCAGGGAGGCCCCTTTTCCGGCAGCTTGGCTCCTCCAGCGGGCGGGTCTGTGTGACCCTGATTCTGGGCCCACCTGCCCATGGTGGGGGGCTGGGGGTACCCGGGAGAGTCCCATGTAAAGCAGACCCTCCACTGCTACTACCACTGGGGGCTGGGGGCCTGGAGCCCCCAGATCAGGTCCAGCCTCTGCCCTTGGTCAAGGGGGGCCCACCACCCCGAGGGGCAGGGTTGTCACTGGAGCCACAAAGGGGAAGGCAGAGGGTGCCGGCGGTGACCCCAGTCCATGCCCCTCCTTGTCCAGTGAGGCGGTGTCCAGGGCTGGACAGGAGCTGCTGCCTGAGCCTCCCAGCCGCTGGCTCGCATGCTCCACTGCAGCCCCTGCAGAAGCTCCCTGCTCTGGTTTTTGTTCAACCTGGCCAGGCAGGCGAGCTGGGCGAGGCGGGGGCAGGAATGTGTAGGCCTGGCGCCCGCCCTGCTGCCGCGTCACTGCGCTGCCTCCCTCTCGGCCTATGGGAGCCCGGGGGACACACCTGTCGGCAGCCAGGAGTGGAGATTGGTCGGCCCAGAGCAGGCACCTGCGTGGGGAGGGGGGAGGCCCTACATGTAAGGCGAGCCGGGGCCTCGCCGCCTCTTCCCTGCCCTGCCCTGCCCCGCGCTGCTTCCATTGTTCCCAGTTGCTCTCAGAACTTTCCCCACAGGCCCGGCAAGCCATCCACCTGCACACGTGTGAACCTCAGTTTCCTTTGTGTGGAGCCTCAGCTGAGGGCAGCAGGAAGCTGGTCTCCCAGGAGGCGGGTGGTCCTCGCAGCCTCCATGCCGCTCGAGGCCGATCTTGGTTGGGGGCAGGTTGGGCCAAAGCCAGACCTTGGTGCCCGGGCTGCCGACCAGGGGCTGACGGGTACTCGGGATGACTGGTGCCAAGGCTTTCTCTGGTGTCCGAGCTGAGGCCTGGCGGGTCCTGGACGCAGGGACGGTGCTAGACGAGCCGGCAGCCGTGGGCACGGGGGCAGGGAGTGGCCTCCCACCCTCCTCCTCCAGGCACAGAACCTGTCTGGGCAGGTAAGTGCAGGAGGTGGAGATGGAGGAGCCTGAGGGGGCCGCTCTGTGCGGAGAGCCTCAGGTGTACCGCAGCCGTGCGCAGCTGACCTGGGAGGATGGTGTGATGGTGGCGATGGCCCATGGGCAGCAGAGTCCAGCTGCGGCCAGGACTCAGGGAAGGGTGGCCCTTCCTCTCCTAGGGGAAGGTGGGCCCCTGGGGCCAGGCCTGCCAGGTGTTGGGTGTGGAGCCGTGCCGGCGGCTCAGGATGGTCAGGGGGTCCAGGCCATGTCTGCGGGGCCAGGCAGGCGGGCACTGGGCGGGGGGTATCTTCCCGCCCAACCAGAGGGCAGCTTGGGCTTGCCAGCTGAGGGCTCCTGCCTTCCACCTGGCCACGGGGCCTTCTGGAAAGCCTTTTCCCGAGGTGGACGGTGAGGTGCCAGTTCTGAGGCATCTTGCTCCCTGGAGCCGGGTGTTGGGAAGGCCTGGGGCGCCCTCAGTTCTGGGCACGGGCTTCTGGGGTTTGCTCATGGGAAGGGCTCGGCTTTGCCACTGGCCACACTGGTGATGGCTGGAGCATGGGGCCAGAGCCGGTCTGGCCTGGATTCATGCTCTTTCTCTCCCGTTCCCGTGTGAGGCGCCAGCAGAGCCGGAACCACCTTGGAGGAGGTGCAGGCTGGCCCCACCAACACGGTTACTGGGGTCAGGTCCAAAGTCTGTTCTAAAGATCCTTCACTGAAACACAAAATTGCAGCCTTGGCCACGGCCATACAAACACCCTACTCTGGAAGTGTGGCCACAGCCGGGCACACCCAGCTCTGAGCGTGCTGGGGACCCCAGAGCTGTTCCACAACACAAATCGTTGGCTTTCTCAGGCAGTTTTGAAGTTTGGCAGATGATAACTTTGCTGTGACGGAGGGCTAACTCTCTCTGAGGCTCACTACAGAGTTCATTGTTCCTGATGAACAAAACTTCAGGGCAGAAGAGTAGGACGTTTTAGTTAACCCGCCGGGAGCGTTTTAGGGCTTTTTAGGCTGAGCATATGGAGAAATGGGTTGGTCTGGTTTTGGTTCACTTGTTCCTAGTAATCCAGGTGAAATGCTTAAAAGTTAGAGCCATTGGCAGCACATTGAATTAGGCACAATGAGTTCTGCATTTATGGAAACTCAGAACACCATCCGCTGTGCATTTTCAGACATGTTGGTAATTTGCAAATACCTTATTTGCAAAATCAGTTTGGTGAATTTAGGAGAAGGTGAAAGAGCCTGTCAAAGCCACGGGCCTCCTGAGGAGCCTGGTCTGTCCTCTGGTGTGGGGAGGGCAGGGCGGTGGGCAGGCATGTGCAGCCCAAAGGCCCAGCAGTGGAAATGGCGGCCCGGCCTCGTGGACGAGAAGCTCGGCCAACACTGAAGCCGTGCCCGCGTGCAGACAGGCCAGCTTCTGGCCGCCCCCGCCCTAGGGGCTCCCTGCCCGGCTGGCTGATCCAGCCGCGCACAGGAGTTGGGTTTCTGTGCTTTGTTCTCTGTGCGGCCTCACCATTGATTAAGGCCCGTCGGGCAGGTTAACCAGCCTGTTGGTTTTTCACGCTGGGATTGTGTTCCCCACCCCACCCTGTCCTGTGCAGGTGGGACCTACCAGGCCCGGCAGGCTGGGCACCCTCAGGTGGGCTGTTTGCTCTGACTGCTCGACTGTCCTAGCTAAGCCTGGCTGGGATGGTGATGGTCAACCAGACCCCGCATCCAGGGACCATGCACTGGCTCCACTCCTGCCCACAACTGGCCAGGCAAGCACCGGCTGGGGCACCAGGAAACAGGGAGCACTTATTTTCGCTTTTCATTTCAGCCAGTAAGACGCGCCTGCCTGCCTCAGCTAGGCGCAGGACGGTCAGGGCCTTGACCCCCATATGAGCCATGCGGAGGCCCTGGCCAGGCATCAGTCTTTCCCTGTGGATTTTCTGAGTGGGAGAAGGAGAGTGGTGTTTTGTCCTGGAACTTAAAGGGGAGCGTTCTGCTGCCCACCTGCGCCAGGCCTCCGCCTCCTAGGGGAGAATGTAATGGCTGGTGAGCTGGTGGGCAGTAGACAGTGGAGGTGGCCTGTCCACCTGGCTTTGGGCTGGGCTGGCCTGGGCCTCTCCCAGGCCCTCAGTGCTCCCTAAGTAGGGCAGCCAGGGGCACTGGGGACACCAGGCCCGGCTCCGGAGGCCACGCAGCCAGAGCCGCCTGTGCTCAGTGGGTTGCCTAGGAGGGAGGGTTCCTGCCCACATCCCCTCACCCCGCTGCCTTCCCCCTGTGGCCTGGCAGCCAAGAATGGAGCTGAAATTTAACTCAGCTCTGAAAGTGAAGTCTAGACGGTTTCACTTAGCTCAGAAAAAAGTGAATTGACTTTACGGGGTGCAAGGGAGAAACACTGGAAGGCAAGGTTGAGCCAGGAGGGGCATCCTGGCCGTGGGTGCCACTCTCTGAGCCTGTACATGGTCACCTGGGGGGCCCAAGCATCTGTGAAGCCCCCTCCCGTGTGGAGGACAGGCATCCCACCTACCCCCCAGTGCCAGACCTACTGGGTCCGGCCGGGACCTCTGAGATATGTCAGCGTTCCCAAGCATGACCCAGAGAACTGGGTGGACCGGCGTTCCCAAGCATGACCCAGAGAACTGGGTGAACTGGGTGGACTGAGGCCAGGGGCTGGAACGACACAGTCTTTGTTGTGGTCAACCTGGAAGCCTGGGGGGAATCAGCATGGGGCCACGCCCTCTCCCTGCAGCCTCTGTAGGTGGAAGGTGCCGGAAAACTTGAGAAGCTGCTCTGGCCGGCTCTCCAGGTCTGGCTGCCACCTGTATGGGGACAGAGAAGGGACAAGAGAGAGGATCGGACCCTTCAGTGTCCTCAGGGCAGGGGGCCAGGGGTCTCTCAGTTCCATATGGGGCCCCAGGTGTGGACACTGAGCAGGGCAGAGCCACAGAGCTGCCCACTTCCTCAACCCCACCCCCACACTCTGAACACCCACCCTAGGGGTGCCTCCGAGATTGGCTAGGCCCCCGCAGGTCCCTGTATCCTGCATTTGGGGGGCCACTGTTCCATCTGCTCTGGGGTTGAACCTCAGACCAGTGGGCACAGAAGCCACAGTGACCACCAGGCACCTGCTGGACAGGACTGCCCCTCTCGCACCCCTCCCGCAGGCACAGCACCAGCTCACCCTCAGACCTCACAGCCAGAACCCTGGGGGGCAGATCAGTGGGGCACTGGTGACAAGGCACCCAGCAGGAGGTGGGGGCCCTGGGCCCCAGGACACCTGCCCGGCTGGGCAAGTGGGGGCTGAGGAGAGCCCAGGTGCCGTCCCTGGCAGCTGTCCTCCATCCTGGTCCCGATCCCCGTCCAAGCCCTTGACAAGAGCAGGAGGTGGCAGCAAGCCACTGGACACTGTTGGGGCTGCATCTGGGAGGCAGAGACCCGCGATCCTGCCACAGCAGCCCCAGGCCTCAGACACACGCATGCTCACCAGAGACCCCCAGGCGCTGGGCCTTTCCCTGGGACCACCCAGAAGAAGGGGCCCCCTCTGCTCCCGCCCCGTCAGCCCCCAGCCACCTGTCCCCCTCAGGTGCCCACCCCACTCCCGGAGCTGGTGGCTCTGCAAGGCCAGCAGGGGCTGGGTGGGCAGGGAGGTCATCCTGTGGTCCTCCCCACCTCAGAGCCCTGGGAAGACGTGGTTCTACCTCATGCTGCTGGGCGCCACCCCCACTGAGTCTCCTCTTGACCCTGCCGGGCGGCCCCCAAACCCAATGAGGGGCGGCCATCGCCATCTTACTGGGCAGCATTGGATGGTGTCTGGTCTCTAATACTGCCTGGTAATGATGACGGCGGGGCCCTGCACGCAGCGAGGGGGCCGCCCTCCCCCCAGCCTGGCCCCCACCCGCCCTCCCCACGCACAGGCCCCACGCAGTTCCCACGCAAGCCCCAGCTCCCCAACACCCACAGTCGGCTGACCCACCCACAGCTCCCCACCCTGTCCTGCCCCGTTGGCTTCCGGGTGGGGCCTTAAAGCAGAAAGTTGACCTCAGGCAGCACCCCCCACAAGGCCTGGACGTGTCTGAGCCCCTTCTCGGCCCCCAGAATCAAAGGCTTCCTGCAGCTGCACCGAGCCCCACCACTGCCCCCAGTGTGCTGGGATTAGGGTGCTCAGGTATCTGGGCCCTGCCCATGGCACCTAAGCAGGTGCTGCCACCACACCTGACAGGTGTGGGCTGAGCGGAGCCGCAACAAAGGCTGTGGAGGGTGAAGGCCCAGCCTGGCGCGGTCAGGCCCGGCCCGGCCAGGGTGGGTAGGCCCCCTTGTAGACCAGCAACACCTTCAGCCTTGGTCCCAGGTCTGCGGCCCCAGGTGTCCTGGCTCTGGGAAAGCAGGGAGCAGCACACAGGCCTCCCTGCCTCCACCTGGGCCTGGCCTGCTGGCGGGGCAGGCGCCCACGTCCGTCCCGCGTCCTCAGACCGAGGTGCACTGGGCCTCTGTGGGCATCTTACCGGACAGTGCTGGATTCCTCAGCTCAACTCTAACACTGTCTGGTAACGATGTTCAAAGGTGACCCACCACCCACCGGGAAGTGGCCTAGATGTGCTGTCCTGAGCTCCTGGTCTCCACGCTGGGCCGAGCTGGGGGATGGGCAGACGGCCTGTCTCAGCTCTGCAGCCAAGCCCAGCAAGTCCGAGGGTGGGACTGGTTCTGCCTCATCAGGGCCCCTAGGCCTCCCCAAGGGACCCAGGACACGAGGACCTGAGAAGAGCCACCAGCCCAGAGGCTGGCCTCTCAGGGGCCTGGCCGCTCTCCCCCATGCATCTGCTGTGGCTAGGCTCGAGTACCCCAAGCAAGGCAGCCACAGGGCCCAGGTCAGCAGCCACACAAAGACATGCACTTTCTGGCTGGTACAGAGCCGGCAACCAGCAGCCCTCGCCTTCTCTTCCCAGCCCCTCTGGTCCACCACACAGGGTCAGACAGCCACTGTGGCGGTCCAGGGAACCCCAGCCACATCACTGTTGGGAGCTGGCTCTGCCCTTAAAGGCCCTGGTCAGCTGGGTCAGCCACGGGCAACCACCTCTTGCTGCACAAAGAGGGTTGCGCTCCCTCTGTCCACTGGGGAAGCAGGAAGGACAAGGGTGTGTCCAGGTGCCCTGGGCCCAACCCACAGGCCTACACAGTGGACGTTCTGTGCTGTTCTCCCTGACCCCAGCCCCTACAGTGTCACAGGCAAGACTGGGTACATTGTCTCAAATCACTGAGGCCAGGATGGCCCTTTATCTTATCTTTTTGATCTGAAGCCAGGACTCCAGACCTGCCCGGCACAAGCACAGGGGCGGCCTCCTGCCTGGGCCCAGGAGGTTCCCCAGCGAGGAGGGCCTGCCTCTGGCCTGGCTGTTACCCGTTAATCGGAGAGGATGCCGCAGCCACCTTGACTCGGAATCGAGAGCAGGGAAGCCAGACTGCTCCCCAGCTGCGCCCATGAACACAGGTGCCGGCAGGGCAGCTCCCGGGATGGGATCTACAGGAGAGCCCTTCTCAGAGCAGTCCTGGACAGGGCTACGGGGGCCTCTGGGACTGCCCCGCAGACTCAGGAGGGTCTAGAGATCTCGCCGCCCGGCTGAACCCTCTCTCCCTCTTCTAGAAGGGCCCCTCGACGAAACTGCCTGCACCTAAGCCTACCGATGGGGGTCTTACCAGACAAGGTTAGATCTGGTCCTCTGTCTAATACTGTCTGGTAATGCCGTCCATCCAAGGCCTGATCGACGCCGGAGAAGGGGCCCCTTGCCGGACACTGGGTGGAGAGGGGGCCCGGAGTCCATCAGTGCCAGCAGTGGTCCTGGGCCCTCAGTGCACCTCTGCCCCAGGTCCAGGACCTCAAGTCCCCCCAGGGCACAGAGGCCAAGCCCTGGACCTCCAGCCCCTGGCCCTGACTAGGGGAGCCCTGTGACCCTGAGGTGGGCTTTCTGTCACAGATACAAGGGACTGTTGGTGTAATAAAGCATGTGGACCTTCCATTCAACTCAGGTGCACAGGCAGGGGGCCCAGCGGGCCCCACACTGAGAGTCTGGGAGCAGGTGGTACAGCACTGCGCTGCTGGCACTGCCACAGGCCAGAAGAGACTGGGGGCTGCAGGCAGCACAGCACTGGAGCCCCCCTGGAAGCCTCTCCAGGGAGGTGACCTCATCCCTTGCCACCCCCACCTATACGGGGGTGGGGGATGCTGAGGAGGACAAGACTGAAGCAGCCCCAGCCCCCTAAACCCCCAGCCCAGGGTGGGGAAGAGTACAGTGGGCAACAGTGCCCCCAGAGGCACCCCAAGCCGGTCTCGCCCCCACCCTAGGTGGCACCAGGACCCTGGAGACTCCACCCTTGGTGGGGTGCTGGGCCTGCAGGGCATCTCTCCTTGCTTCCCCTGGGTACCCACAGGACTGACTCAGGGCTCAGGCAGTCGGAGGGTTCAGGGGTGAGCAGACAGACGGTCACCCACCCACGCTGGGCAATAGGCCAGGCAGTCCCGCACCCTTGACCGCCCTCAGGCCCCCACCCCACAGCCCCCACCCCACTCCCCTCTGCTCTACCCACTGAGGCTCATCAAGATGTCCTCTGTCTAAAGGTATCCCCAAAACCAAACTTCTGGATGCTGATACTACCCTCAGCCTCGTGGCTGCCCCACCAAAGCCCTTTTCCTTCCCAAGAGAATTCCAAGCAGGTCCCAGGGTCCCAACCCACAGCTTTGCAAAGGACTGGCTAATGGCTCTGGCTCAGGGCTCTGTGGCCAGAGTCAGGGCAGAGGGGCCCCTCCCTGCTCCGTCCCACCCTCCCTGAGCCCCTCTGAGAGCTAGAGCAGTTGTAGACACGGTGGGGGACAAGGAAAGTCCCTGAGAGGGAGCCACAGAGGCAGGAAGGCCCTAAGGCAGCACCTGCCAGCTGTGAGGGCTGCTGGCATTGAAAAGGCCAGGGAAGTGTGGGAGGGGGTGCGGGTGGCCCAGGAAAGCCTCTCTGAGCAGATGTCCAGGCCGGGACCTGGCAGGAGCCAAGCAGAGGGACACAGAGGCCAGAGGCTGCCCGGGGGCCAGTGAGGAGAGCTTCCTGGTCCAGCAAAGGCACCAACTCCCCATGAGGGGCCAGGGCCTGACCTGCCTGGAAGACCCCAATCGCTGCTGCAGGAGGGTTGCTGGACTTTTGCCCAGAGCAGGGCCTGGACCGCCTCCTTCTGCCTCCAGTGCACTCGGGCCAAGCAAAGCCGAGCCCAGAGGCACCCCAGCCACCAGCCTCCTTGCGAGAGAGGCGTCTGCCCTGCGGGGTTGACGACTGGCTGCCTTGCCCCAGGCTGTAGCTGTGGCTGATGACCCGGCCCTGGGCCGCTGTGAGAAAGGCTGCACTGGGGGGGCACCCATACCATCCAGTTTTTCAGGTTATAAAGCAGATTTTGAGTTTGAGCTCTTGGTGTCACCATGTGGGCAGGGGGCCACCTCCCCAGAACCCATACGGAGCAGAGGAGTGGGCTGGCCCAGCTGGGAGCCTCCTCAGGGCCTGGACCCCTAGAAGTGATGGCAGAGGAGGGCATGGGTTCCAGAAGGAGGACAGCGTGGGGATTCCGAAAGGTGTGCTCAGGCCAAGGGAAGAGGAGTGGCCTGCAGGTGACAAGTGGCCCCACTGCCTGGCCCTGGTTGCTGCCCCCTGCAGGCCCAGGCTGAAGGGCCACCAGCTCCTGAGGTCAGGATGCCCTTCAGTCAAGGTCTTGTCTGAAGAAGCTCTCCACCCCTCTGGGCTGACCTACAGCTACCCTAGGGCAAAAGGGTCTCAGACCACAGTCCAGCAGGCCCCCAGCCTGTGGATGCATCAGCCTCTGTGTGGGGTCAGGGATGCCTCCCTGTGGTGGAGGGGGCACCACGTGGGACCCTCAGAAGTGAGGGACTTAGGGAGTGCATTAACTTCCTGGGATGTCCATAGCAAATTATACCAACTGGGGGGCTCAAAACAACAGAGATGCCTCCCCTCACAGTTCTGAAGGCCTGAGGCCAGAAAGCTGAGTGTGGGCAGGGCCGC